AGTCGTATATTTCGCAAACCCTCTGCTTTTGCAATGTGAGCAGACATTTGTCCTCAGAAGCTTTCATAAAGCTGATGAATTGCTTTTTATCTGGGCGATAAATATTTATCCGTTGCGCAAATCTAAATTCCATTATGGGAGTAAACATAAACAGGCCTGCATATATAAAATTGAACAATGCAACGCTAACAAAGGGCGCAGTGAAGAGGACCATATGGTCAACAGCGGTTCTCAGAAGAAAACCATTAATTGTGCGAGTTGCTTGTTCCTGACAACAGCTTGACTCCTGTCAGCTCATCTTCACAGAACAAATTTCTTATGGTTTAATGGATGCAGTCCAATTTAACAGTTAAATGGCAAAAAAGTCTTGCTGTTTTAAACAAATATTTATTTTTTGGTGAGTAATTACCAAAGAAAAACTAATGTTTTAAACAATGGTACACACTTGTATATGTTTGCACTAATGGCAAAAGCCCACTTGTCCTTTGTCATACACCACCACATCATTTAACTCTTCTAATGATGTACAACATTTTGTATAAATAAAATGAATGTCAAATTAGCATCTTTGTGAATAGTTGTTTATGTAAAACAGCTGTGTTTTGTTCAAGCACCTCAAAGTTTGACATCGTCCACGGCATTTCTTATGGCGCCATCTGGTAAATAGGAAGTGGAATATTTTGTTTCTTTAGTAACAATGACGCACTCAACAGAAAATCCCAGGAAGAAGATGTCACCATGTTAGCCACAATGTTTGACGGGTAATTGTTTTGTGATGATGTGATGTAATGAAGTTGAAAGAAGTACATTGGTCTGAGCAGGAAGCTCGAGCCATCACAGTTTCATTACTTTGATATCAAACGACATGGCTAGTATATTTCTATAAAGGATATGTGGCATTTTTGTCAAAGTTTCTACTTGGTATCAAACCGACAGCCTTCTGGTGGAAGGTGATACTCCAGCACCACATATTTAACTTCGATAACATTTCTAAAAAAAACAAACAATCGTTTAATTTGACTTAGACATATTGTAGCCCTAATGGAGTTTTTTGGTAGATTTTCTTGCCTTTGGAAATTACTTTGTAGTAATGACTCATTTTTAAAAAGTGTATTTCTTGTCTGTGAAATTAACAGGTATTTAATCAAGACTTGCAGTGTGATTTAAGAATGTTAGCACACTGTGCTAAGTAAAAGAAATCTGCAAAAATAAATAAACAATTTTAAGATGAGCAAAGAATCACTAAATTGACAGTTTTGTAACACAGCATCCAGAACATTCTTAGTAAATTGCATTTGTATTGGGTTCTTTAAGCTAGGACATGGGCTCGTATGGGTGAGTAAAGGATCATGTACACCAGGAAACACTGCTGCTATAAAGAATAAAATAGACTAGAAAAAAACACGCTTATGTTCAAAGCTGATTTGATCACTGCAGTCCTCACGTAAATCTCTGAGTGATACAGAAGGAGACGGGGAGAGGGGAGGGAGGGGGTTGTGGCCCAAACCTTATGAATCCATTTATGCAATCGGGGGCTCATTAGTCACTGCTCGGTCCATTACTGGTTCCGGATCTTGTGGCACCAAACTGTCTGCACCCATTGCTTCTAAAAGGGTGGGGGGCTAAACACCGGTCCTCTCTCCCCTGAGCCTGAGCAGATAGCATCGTGAGCAGCAGCAACGGCAGCAGCAGCAGTTAGACCCTGAAACCTAACCACCTCCTCCAAAACCCCTCACTTAATTAGGCCATAATTTTACTGTATGCCACAGTGTGTGGAAAAGGGGGGGTCAGGGGTAAATGTGGGTCTAAGTATGGTTTTAAATGTCCCATTAAAGGATTTCAACAGGACTCACATTGTTATACAGTGAGTGGAAAATATTTCATTTCAATACAAGCCAGCATTTTTTGATATGATCAGCAGTTATAGATCAATAATTGTCAGTAAGCACTACTCTAACAACTGCAATAATTGAGACAAAAATTAGGGTTTTCCATCCATTTGGGGAAAGTACCTAATGGCTTCCTCCCGCAGTAACACACTGAAGCTACCCATACTCCTTCAAGAACGTGAAAATGGGTAAAAGATTACCATCTCGTCCTCCGTACTATTTTCACTGGAGCTCGTCCAGTAGGCTTTTACAGAGAGCAACAATGTGTCCTGTGTGTAAGCCCGTCAGTATACGTGCAACAGGAAGATAAATGCTAACCCTCACTCTTTCTCGCACCGGGTAATGTTAAACCAAACATACAACTGAGTGCAACCTCACACATGGGGTTCCTGCACACTCTTGTCAGTGTTAATCAGCAGCTAATTTCTCCGACTGTTGTTGAACCTGAAACCATACAGAAGACCTTCAACGAAAACCCCTGCACCTATATAAGAAATGTGTTTCCAACACATGGCCAGAAGCCAATCCTTCTAGTCGTCTATAACTGTAATTCTTTCAGGCAGCCCATAGTTTACACTCCAGAGAGAGGTTCCCAATTATTTGAAACCTGGATATTTTAATGTCAGAAAGTTACCAAAGCAGTAAATTATTCCACAGTAAACGAGCTGGGCTACCATAGGACAGTTACTACAGTTAATGACTTTTATACTGGTAGCATTCTTTTATGGAAGGAATGTGACAGGTTGGGAACACGGTGCCAAGAATTACAATGCTGCTGTGTCCCGATGGTTTTCTCTTTAGTCATATTAGCAGAGGTAAAAATAGAAGGAGAAAAAGACTCTTAAGTAACAGGATTAGAAGTACTGGCAGTCATAGTGATACTGGTAGTCGTACTTAGAGTTATAATTTGGCACGTAATAGTTTTACTAGTAGTGGTTGAGGTGATACTAGTAAAACCAATGTAAAACGAAATGATGATTGTAGATGTAGTGATAGTGGTTAGTGGAGGTGTAGAACTAGTAGCAGTAATAGTAATTGTAGTATTGTTAGAGAAATAAATAATTCAACTTAAAGTCCAATATTACAACCAGTATTAACAGTAGTATGTCATGAGATGTAGACTTTTCAGCAATAGTATTAGAAGTACTAGAGTGCTTTGCATAGGTTTGAGAAGATTTGTAGCACTAGGAGAAGTTAAAGTAGTTCTGTTGTTGGTAGTAAAATTCAAGTTGCAGATATACTAAAATAAGTAATAGAAGTAATAATAAATGTAGTAATGTAAAGGTGGTGCTGTTTGTGGTGGTTGTAGTAATGATAATAAAGTTGAAGTTATTGTATTTACAGAAATATTTTTGGTGCTGTACAGGATGTGGATACTAAACGGTGGGTAGTACAGTAGTATTATAGTAACCGTGTCTCCTCTGGCTCATCCTCATCAGGAACTCTCTCTCCTTGACTTGTCTTTCCTTTTTGATGTACACATGTCAGAATACATGCCGCTGTATGTATGTTTTCATTCTGCTCTCCTTTATATTGTACGTATGTAAATTTTACAACTTTTTCTGCCCAGAAGCTAAAGAAAGACCAAAAGTTCTTCCTCGTAAATTATCTCCCTGCTCTCCACCGGGGGAGCCTGCCACACAGAATCACTCATACTTACACGAGAGAGGATGGAAACAAAGCAAAAACAGCTAGATTATAATTCACAAAGGAAGCATTGTCGTCGTCTGTTTGTTTGTTTTGTTTGTGTTTTACTCAATCGAAGTGCCTTGCTGTTTTTCAATGATTGAACCTCATATCCATCAGGTGGATGTGATGTAAGGCCTGTGACTCTTCACTTCAGCAGGCTAATGGCAAATCAAATCTGGGGAATGTCTCTAGCTCATTGGTCCTCTCCAGGGGACGCCTGCCCAATTAAATGGATTCAATTTATCAGACATGATTCATCCATGGCGCAAATTCATATTTACCTCCACTCTGATTGATGAGGATCATTATGCTGATTAAATTCCATCTAAATGTGTTTGTGTGACAGCTATCTCAGTCCTTACAAATGCTCTCTCTGTCTCTCACAGCAAATCCAAATGTATGAGCGAATTTTGCCTTTTATTGTAGGTAGGTATTATGCGCTGTGCGTGCTTGTAGTATTAGTATCACATGTGAGAGAGAGACAGACTTCTTTGCTGTATGTTTTTAGTGGTTTCGCATGTTTCGCGGTTGTGGTTTTGGACTAGAGATAATGACCACAGCTGGACAGTGGAATTTGTGGTCAGTTCTTTTGTTACACACAAGTTTCTGAAGCCTTCTCACTGCGAGGAATGAGTGGAAAAAAGAGCCAGGGCAGTGTGTTTATATTGTCCAGCTTTTATTTGGCTGCTCTGCAGTGTGTGAAGATACCCATGATTAAAATGCCAACGAGATTTCTGACAAACACTGAGTAATACGTTATTTACTTTTAGGAGAATGTTCGTGGCTAACATCATTTAGGCATAATTTTAGCTGTTTGTTACCTTGGTTCTGAGATAGTGGAACAGTGAGGAGTGATTAACGTGTGTATTTGTGTGTGTGTGTGTGTGTGTGTATGCCTGGTGTTGCTATACTTGTGGGGACATTTAAGAAATATTCTGTAGATGTGGGGACGCTAGAGTAAAAGGATATTTAAAGGTTCGGGATTAAGGTTGGAGTTAAGATAAGAATGAGGTTAGGGTAAAGGGCTACTGAGTGGAAGGTGTTAAGACTACTTCAACTTTAAGACTAACACTTCAACAAGGGATGCTATCAATGGTGTTAGCATGTGTTTTAGACCTACCAACTGGAACTAGTTATATCAGAGAACATGTTGCTCCCATTTTGGCTTTCCTTTTCCATGTGAACAAGAATGCACCATATCTGTGGTGTAGAAAACACATCTAAGATGCATAATCTTCTCTTTTCAAAAACATCATGTTTTTACAGCTGCATCTGGATTAACTCAGAGACTAATGTTTGAAAATACGTTATTCCCAGGAGGGCAATTTAGTTTACAC